GGTTATAAACAGAATGAATGATTGCAGCATGTAATTACCCTTACATTATCATCATGTGAGTAATGTTTGGAGAATAAATCAGAAACCTTTTATTGTGTGTGGGAGCACCACATACTGTTTGGATATCATCATGCAGAAGTCTGCAACAACACATCTGTCATTAGTGTCATTAGGTCCATTTTGATGTGATGCACAGCGTATGAAAATGAAAACGAAATACAGATTCATTTTAAAACTACAGTAGAGGACAACCCTACAAAAGTAGCTGTTCTGTGCACAAAAAACATCAAACACCAGGTAAGGTACACTGTAGCCGTAGTACTGGCTTTCCTGCCTTGATTAGATAGGGCAGCTGAAGAGAGACAGGAAATGTTTGGAGGAGAGAGTGTGGGATGACATGCAGAAAAGGTCTGATTTGAACCCATGGCCACTGCGATGAGGACTTAAGCCTCTTTACATGAGGCGCACTACCGCTTGGTTATCAGCACCCCAAACATTCCTATACAGACTAAGACTTTCTACTATGTGTACTTTAACATCTGTGCCCACTTAGTTATCTCCTTTTCCTTTTTAAGGCCAAAGCTGAGCTCAAGATGGAGAACCAGAGACTGAAGGATGAGAACGGAGCTCTAATCCGGGTCATCACTAAACTGTCAAAGTGAGACAGTAAGCAGGAAAGATAAGAAGAAGTCAGATGGGTACCAGAAGCCATATCTCTACCTGCATTCATCCTATCCTCTGTAAGAATGTATGTACATAGTTTTCCATTAAATTGGAAACTTGATTCCATGTTGTTCTCCAAAACATCTGCAAGAATGAATACACTTCACATGAGCTATGAAAGTTTTCTGTAACTGTACTGGATCAAGTGACACATTCCGAGACAGAAAACACATTCAATAAAACTCCATTTTATATATTCATAAGATTTTTCTAAATAAAAAAATGCCAAAACAACCACTTCATGCCTATTTCTTCTCTGTGAACACATTTGTCAAGGAGAAAGCTGTGGTAATAAAGAACATCCCTGGATACCTGAACGGACAAAATAGTATAATACTGCAGGTATTTCAAAGAGGTATTACCATGGAAACTGCAATATTTCGTCCATTCTTCATGCAGACCTTGAAAATTGGCTCTTGGCTGTCAGGGACAGAGGATGATGGATGAGCTACATTTTTCAGCAACGTGGGAGCGTCGACTCTGATTTAAGAGCTGTACCTTAGAGAGGGTGATGTCACAAATGACAAGCTTTTCCTCCTTACCTGCATTATAAAAACAACTTCATGCAGAAAAAAATCTGAACTTTCAGCACTAAAATCAAGACTCTAATGTAAACTATGAACCAAAGAATTCATGGCAGAGTGGAAAAGCTTCAGATTATTCTACATACAAACACATATTTGAATGTAATTGATAAAACATTCACACCACAAGGTCAATTAATTAGCTTTTCTGGAGCTTTCAGTCACATGAGGATCATTTAAAAGTTATGATCAGTTCACTTTTTCAGGATTGAAGGAACTACATGCCACACCTTTAAATTCATCAATGTTGACAAGTCCTTAAATTACTTTATGGAGCCTGATTTGATCAAATGTTATGTTATATTTATGTGAAGAGGGATAATGGACTCATGGCTGAAATACTAGATGTCATAGCAACACCTTTGCCTGTTTGTGAGGCATGCTAGAATAATAAACAATACAATATGTACAATAACTACCATTGTAGTAAAAAAATTTCATTAAACAGCAATACTAAGGAAATGGAAAAGCTGGGCTTTAATTGAAGATTATCTGACATGATGCAAAGCTACAGAACAGACTTAATTACGCCTAAGTAATATTACAGATATCCCAGTGAAGTAAAGGTAACAAACAAACAAACAAAACCTGCACAGAAGAAGATTTTACTTATATTTTGATTCACATTGAGGAGCTATAAGGAGTCCCAAATATATAATGACATCCAGCACTGCAAGACTGAGATGCCTCTTTTAATGTTGTCCTATTTAATTTTGATCGTCATGTTTAATAAATAACTCTGAGTAGATTTGAGTTTGTTCTGGTAGTGACGGGCATAATGAAATGACGTGGTGTCATCCTCTAAGACAAACATGAAAAGGTTCCTAGATAGAAGATTTGGATCCAAGTCTATTGCTGTACTAATGTGTTACATTTGGTGTATGATGCCCCCTGTTGTCTGTAAGTGGAAAAGCATCATCTAACTTGACACACACATCACACAGGACCAGGCTACTTAAAATGCCTTTATTTCCTATGATAACACTTTGACAACACACAGACATGTCCTGACCACAGCCACTAGTTCGGTTCCCATGATTCATTCAGTTCCACATAAAATGAATACACAATTATTTTTGATTTTTTTGTTGCCCCACTTTTTTTTTGTTGCTGGAAAACATGGATTTTGTATGGAAAGTAATCATGCAGATCACAAAAAGGCACAACTATTGACACACCTAAAACAAGACTTGTACAATAAAGACTGTCAGGCATTTCCTTTGTCTATGTTGCCTATGGAGCAGGATAGTGATCAGGTCTTTGGAAGTTTTGTATCATGGCTATGTTCACATATGACGACTAAAGAGGAACCCTTATTGAAGCAGCAGGTTGGCAGTATTGCATTGCGAATAATGTTGCTTTGCATTGTTTGGGTCAGGATGGCTTAGGAAGACAGGGATTTTGTTGCCTGCATTGCAGAAAACTGACAGTCATATACTTCATTGACAGAACACCAAAGAACAGATACAGGCTCTATTTTTCCTATATGAAGATAAGAGGGAGGATAATAATGACCTCAGGGCAGGGTGACATTTAACATATTAAAGAAAATTATGTAATAAATCAAATCTGCACCACATTAGAGAATTGTTTCTTAAATTTCCAATGACATTTAAATATATGCTAATTTTTTCATACATGGCAACACAATGACAATTTTCTTTTATAAGTAACATGATTGATAAGAGTTTGACATTTCTTGAAAACTAACCTAAAAAAGTCATTAATTGGTGGAAATATTATGCTAATTTTAATGAAACCTTTCCTAAGCATGAAAAAGGCTTTAAATGCTAGCTAGCAGTAGCCTAAAGGGTTGTCACTGTTTTAGTGTGATTATTCTCACATTCAGCACTATTAGATAATGTATCAATTTCTAGGAAAAGTATCTCTCTTAGTTTTACTTTACTAAGTAAACACATAAATATACAGAATCATGTAACACTATGCTAGCTAGTTCAGGACTTTAAAACTGAAAGATGTGTCTGCTATCGATTCCTCTTGGTCAAACAGAGAGAGTAAAATACATCATTCTCTAAAAGATGGACTGTGATGGAGATATGAGTAATGTATCTCCATGTCCTGTTTTTTTTTTAATCGATAAAGTAACTCACAAACATGGCAACCATTTTCCTTTGACACTCTGTGTTGGAAACTATGCTGTTAAAGACCTACTGTTAACTGCTTATTTTAGGTTTGCAAATCATTCAGATTTAGGGCATGTTATGAAAACTTACATATTACTCAGCAAATTAAAAGACAAGTGATTGTACAGATCTGGAGGGTCCATATTTCAAGTTAACAACAACAACATTTATGATAACTCATAAGCTACATTTAGCTCATGTTAGCATTCAACCACTATCTGGCTAAAATGACTGATTGGTAGAGTCAAATGATACCATGGGACAAAGGTAAGTTAAGGTAAGTTCTTATGTATTTGTAGAGTGAACTAGCTAACAGTTATCTAACTTTATTGTTAGCTAGCTCATGGTAATATTAGCTAACATAGAGTCTAACCAAGACCTGTGTCTGTATTAACTTAAATTATCCAATACCTTGTTCAAACTTGAAATACGGCTTAATGTCTCTGTCAGATATTTAGTCTGAATTGTCTTTCCTTTGCTGACCACAAAACACGGGGAAATGAGTGTGCTGAATTTCCAACGTTAAATTAATTTCAAACTAATTTAATTTCATCAAATTATTTGTAATTCCATATTTCAGCAGTAGTAGTATAAAAGTATATGAGCTTTCACCCTCTGTGTGAAGTCACAGGAAAATGGCCTGTGTGGTAAAAAGTAAATGACATTGACATTAAAAAAAGGCAAAATGAAGTTCCCCACATCAGAAATGTTATGGTAGACACAGCATCAATATCTTAAAGCATGCACAAGTGAGACAACACAACAACCAGCTCATCTCATTGCAATTGATTGGTTAGACTGCAACCTCACTCATTGGGAGACATTTGTAATGAAAAGACGATTGATAGTTTAGCTGTGACTAAAGCTGCTGAAGAGCACCACATCAACTAAATGGTGTGATCATAACTCACAGAACTTATCCAGCAAAGACAAAACACAAATGACTATAATGAAATTAAATACCAAGGCTGCAAATAAGTGGCTTTCTTAATTTCTCATGTTAAAGGTTTAATTTGACAAGTGAGAGCAGGTTTATTTAAAAAGCAATAAGATGAGAAGGTAAAACTTAATGGAGTAAAGAACGAGGGGGGCTACAAGTCGATTCATTCTTCCAGTGTATCTGCGCGTAATAAACTATAGTATGACACCCGTCTGGCAGGAGTGAATGAAGGAAACACTTTAGGTACGCTGGGATAGAATTTCAAGGAGCTGGCACATTTTCACATTTTAGACATATAGACAGTTCACTGATCAGGGACTATGCAAGCAGAGAAGAACTATAATTACACGACTTGTAGCCCAAGCATACTATAACACTGGATTTATCACAGAGGACACATACAAACAGTGACAGGAAACCACACGACCATGCAGCATTATGGCAACGTAAGAGTTCTTTTTTTTCTTTTTTTACATAATGTTACACAAAGCACTCCTGCATTCATTTCAGGCAAGAAAGAAACCTGTGACTCCAAACATGAAGAATCCAGACATACATTCAGTCTCATCCAGCAATAACACATACACAGTTTGCAGTCAGTGCATACTCTTTTTTTTTTTTTTTTTTTTACTGTTTTATTATAAAAAAAGGACACAGAACACAAACACACATACACAATATAATCATGGTTTCTCTTTAAAACATGCTTCTATTTACATTATCTTTTAAAGACATGCTGTAGCTTATTCACAAAGGTTGCGCGATGCAGAATGTTAACAACAGGAAGAAGTAGTACTGTGAATGGACCAATCAGTGTGCGGCTGTTCATCCTCTTACATTGTAATTATTAATTGAGATGACTTTATGGCGTCCTGCGGAAGCAAAAAACGGCTTTTTCATTTTTGAATTTTTATCTGCAACTGTAAAATCTCATCCTGATATTTAATCACAATTTGGACCATAGAAATGAAGATACCACAAAAATGAAAGAATTTTATATTAAACATTAAAAATCACCTTTTTTGGATTCTCATTTTTGAGTTCCACTATCATGTAAAATAAAATCAGGAGGGAAAATCGAGCCTCGATAGTCTAATGTCTATCATCTAAACTTCTCTTTTAGAGCGTCATACTTCATATTAATGGTTGTGGTGATCTTAACAAATATTTGACGTTTGAATTTGTTATTTTTTGTCTTTTAAAGTGTAGTAATTATGTATCTTTACTATATATAGCTCGTATATAAGGCTGCTTGTTGTTTGTCAGAAACTCTGTTAACTGTGCTGCTGCTTGTCTTGACCAGGACACTCTTGAAAAAAATAGATTTTTTTTTTTTTTAACTCAATGAGTTTTTCTTCCTGGTTAAATAAAAAATAACTAAATTATATGACTTAATTAAACCAATTTGATTACTTCAAAGTTAGCAAAATTATTTTAATTAGTTTTTAACTGATTAAACTGAATGTTTTGTGCACTATACTTTCTATTTTTTCTTCTGTTATAATGCTTTTTTTGTATTTAACTGCTGATTCTGATCTCTTTTATTCTGCAGGGCACATTGCTATGAGTGGTAGACACCTAATATTCAACACATTTTTTACCCTTTGTTAAAATTAGAATATTCAATACATTTTGTTTCACTCCTAGATGAGAATTTGAGGCTTTATTCATTCTTTTTATCAAATCAAAGTCTCTATGTTCCAATTTTTCTTTTTGTATATTTAGCTGAGCTCCTCCATTATAATTTCCACATTCCCAACGACTACAGCAAAGTCCTCCTTGGGTAAGAATGATCGGGACTCAATAAAATAACTCTGAGGGTTGCAGCTTGAACAGGTTATCCTACAACCTCAACTTTCAAGTAGAATTCTCATCTAAATCTCTGTATATGACTCAAGAGCTGTATACTGAATTCAGGGTTGCTCTAGAAAAATTAATATTATGTTTCAAGTTCAAGTGTTTCACTTGAATTAAACTTCAGAATGAGGTCTTGAGTTACTTTTAATGTTAAAATAATTTTGCCATCATCTGCCTCCGTCCATCTACATTCCAACCGAGCGCAGTATGTCTGAGATGATGTTTGAACACCATCATGTTTGGCTCCTGCTTTACAAAGCTTGTGGCTGACGACTGAACGAGTCAAACCACATGAAATTCTGTGAGGCATGATAATTGCTAGATTCTGCAGCTGTATTTGGTTCAAGCAAATGGTCCAAGATATGTTTATCGTATAATATGTTCGATGTAGCATTTGCCTTTACAAATATGCAATTGTTTACTTGAATTCCCGTCCTCTTAAAAAGTGCCGGCTACAACTTACAATTCAGATTGAATTTCTCTATAAAAACATTTTCTTTTTGACAGATATCCTGAATCTATTTCACAAGCGTTGAAGTGCACTGCAGCGTGTTCTGTAAACGACCTCATTGGAAAACAAGAGACAGACAATCCATTTCATGGGTATCGAAATCAAAATGCATCAGATGGCACTGTATTCAGGAAGCAACAGCAGGATTTAAAAGAAGCATAGTCATCGTGGGTCTGAACATCATTGGTTAGCCTTCCTAGGTAGCCTTACTTTGTCCTCTGACAGGTAAGGTTTTACATCCAAGTGGTCACACAGCTCAATACAGATCTCAAATGGCACATTCGCAGTGTCCCTGACTACTTTTGAATGATTTCAACTCAGCAAGTTCCCCTTTCAAAACACAACAATGAAGCTTAGTGTATTTCTCAAAGAGTCATATCAGGAAAGGCACCCTTGTTCTCCTGTCTTACATCAGATTCGTTTGAAGACACATGAATGCATTTTGTTCCTAAATGCATAGATGAAAACAGGCAACTTAAATAAAACAACTCTGTCATCCCTGCCAAGTGGTTTTCTGAATGTTTCTCCTTCTGAGTTAGTTTGCTTATAAAATGAGGATGATCATTAAAACAGATTTTTTTCTTTCAAATAAATTGCAACATGGATTGCAGCATTTAGTGACTTTTATCTCATTCACTCTCAGTTTCATCTTTTTTGCATTAATAGACTTAAACAGACTCTATGCAGGAAGTAACCCAACACTACGGTACTTTCTATTGCAAGTTATAGCACACTTAAAAGCAAGCTACAATACTGGGAATGGAGTATGCAGAGCAGTGGGGAGGTAAGTAACGCATGCTCTATAAACTAAACTAAACTAAAGCTTCATCTCCAGCATTGTCTTCACCTGGACTCTCATTCAGTTTCAGCACCCTTAAAATCAGTTTCTGAGTTTCGTCAAATGAAAGAAAGACTAAAAGTCGATCATTCATGAAGCAATCGCCCGATAACTCGATGCCACTCCTCCCAACATACAGTAATGTGTGAAATGTGATGTTTAAAATAGTTTCTTTTTGACTTAACCATGAATGATTGGGATTTCTAAGATGTCTCTTTTTTGCTGAGCAGGTTTCATGACGACTTGTCATTTGGTAAGTCATGGGTTTTCATGCAAAGTAGGGGCAGGGTTTGGGTTTGGGTTTCAGAGTTAGTGCATTAGCTGGTTGGTGGAGCATGTTACTTCTTTGCATTCAAGGACGCCAGCTGACCATCGATATCCTCCTCTGGCTGCAACGGATGCCACTGGGCAATGGGACGGCGGGGATTAGCCAACATGTCGGACCAGTGCTTCAGGCCGAGGCCGGACGCCTTACTGCCCACAAAGATCTTCCCGATGGCGTCATTCTTACCGATCTTATCGTAATCAAACACCGTGACTGCCACCAAGATTTTCTAAAAAACAAAACAGATCATGATGTTTCTGTTGTTAAGTAACACAGTCAAAATACTTAAATTACTTAAAAAAACCTTTCTAAAGTGCAGAAACAACAGTTGGCTTTGCTCACAGCTACATGTATTATTAAGGATTCATACTGTTGTTTGATTTGTACTGTACCTGCATCTGTTCCAGGGGGATTTCAAAGCTGAAAGATTCATTATAATAAGGGTTCAAGGTGTTCTTCTTCACTGTAGTCTTCTTTTTCTTCAGGCGTTTACCCCCCTGCAGGAGCTGGATCTTAACATAAGGATCTGAAAAGGGCATCAATGTGATCATCAGCAATAGACATTATCCATCATGATTATTGTTATAAATCTTTCCCTGTTTCTTTTCTGCAATATTTAATTATTGTGTATCACTTTCCTTCATTTTATTTTCTATACATCATTGACTAAAATATTTAGTGTGTTTTATTTTTTAATCTGGTCCCGCTGAAGTATGATGGTTAACCACATTTCCCAGGTGCACCTGCATGACACATCCCTGGCTCTATTTGAGGTCAACACAGGCTCTGGGATTCCCTTCAGTTCCAAATCTGCTCTTATAAAAGACAAAAGATTGTCTCTGTTATGAAATACTCAGAGTGAGCTTAAGTATGCAGAGTAGTCTTGTCTCTATCTTTTTTGTATTCGGCCTGTTTGATCAAAAGAACTGCCGCATTTTTCCCTCCTAAAATACAGCAACTTTTATTGTTTAGTCATGTCTTTTGAAACTAATTTAAAACCCGCTGGCATAGACAAACGTGACTTGAAGCCTAAACAATACAAAAGCACCAATTGCTAAAACTTGAAAACAGTGATATTTGCATTTCTTTACCAGATAATCCGCAGGCATCCATCTTCTTCAGGTTCTTTGCTTCCAGGATGCAGACGGTGAGTTTCCCGGCAGTGGGGACGTAACGGAGGGAGATGCAGATGTCTCCGAGTTTCTCAGGCTGAATGGTCAGCACAAAGAGGGGAGACAGAAATGACCATCACTCATGCTCATCAGAAAAACATTTTAGAGCATAACGATGGTCTTAAAGGAACAATGTGTGAAATTTACATATATCTTAGATAGCAGATATCAAGTATATCCTGTGTGAATGTGTCTCTGAGTCAGGGCTGTCTACAATGAGTGAGAAGTACGAGTCCCGTCAGCTGTATTGTTGTCAGAGCCGTGTTTACATCATGTTTACATGGACCGACAGCCTTGTGTATAAAGGTGTTTTAGTCAAGGACAAGAGAAAAGAAGAACACAGCCTACTCACTGTTTATTTGGAGGTCACATAAGTGTGTTTAGAGCTCGGTCATTCTGTGTCAATTTATGTGCAATTTGAAGCTACAAGCTAACTAAAGTGTGCTAACATTAGCCTGCTAATACAACAATACAGGTCATAGGCAAATGCAGCTGGAGCAAAGGACGATATTGACCTCTGCTTCTACTTAACGGTGTTTAATTATGGTGCGTTCTGATTGATTACTCCTTCGTGGTTGGAGGTGTGCTGCAGCAGGAGAGCGTTGGCTTCAGTGTGACAGATACATCTACTGGATCAAAAAGTCGCACATTCTTCCTTTAAATGAAACGCCCCCAGCTACTTTGTGTCTTGCACTTTTCTTTTGAGCTGATACTTTAAGTTGTTATCCTTGATTCGTATTAAATGATGTGTTTGAATTGAGACGAGTTCAAGGCTTAGAACCTTAAAGCCCCTGGAAGTAATGGTGCCTGCATTTTTTGCAGCCTTTTACAAAAACCTGTTTTAAAACCTATATCGATCAATGATTATAATAAATCATTCTTTAAAATCTGTATTTGTAAAGTGTGATTCTGAAAAGCACCTCTTCTTGATCTGCGCTCTCCAGATCCCGCCACTCCTCGATTGGTCGTGCGAGGTCGATGGTGTTCATGGCAATCTTCACCTCTCCAATGACGTCATGTTTGGAGAATCGATCGTAGTCAAAAACAGACATGCTCAAAGTCTTCCCACCCAGCTCCTCATAGGGCACCTGATGAACAGACAGCTTTGGTTTGAAATAACTTCTTAACTTTTCTTTACGTTAATATGACTGTATAAATAAAGTAAACCTTGAATTAGTTATGGAAAGAAATGAAGTGAACTCTTAATGTTAGAATACGTGTTAGTCAAGATGACTTTTGCAGCAGCAATGGAAAACCTGTGAATGAGTGAAAGCTTCAAATCTGAACAAACTAAATTGAGTTGAATTCAAATGAGGCAAATAGTTTCAGAAAAAAATGAAATTCAGCAGCTGGCTGTAAATTCCTCCAAAAAAGTCAATTTTGAATGCTCATGTCCTTTGCAGACACATGGTCAGACTTTTTAAAATGAATTAAAACTAGGGCTGTCAAACAATTTAAAAAAAGCTTTATTTATTCATTAACTAAAGTTAAACATCTAAAAAGAACAGTGGAAAAGTGAATTGTTTGATGTCATGAGGACGGTGGATATTACTTTTGACTCATCAACTGAGCTGCCTGAGTCGTTATTAAGTGAAATGAGACATTCAAATTTGCAGCAGTGTAATTTTTTCCGTCACTGTGAGTACAGGGAGACACTGCAGAGGCTGAACGGTGTGTGAAAGGACAAAATAGCATTCAATGAATTGTGATTTAAAAAAATGAATGCATCAATTTCAGACCTTAATCTCGATTAGCCCAAATTTAAGCCTTTCCAGTCACAAAAGGAAAAAAAAAAGCATTCACAGTATAACACAACAAATAACTCTCCTGCTCTATTCAATAGGGAAAAGTTCTGTTCCTGTGTTTTTCTGCTGCTGCACATTTTCAGACAGACAGAGCTACCAGCTTGAGCCAGAGCCTTGTCAAGTCTCTGTGGATTTTATTAGCCAGGAAAGGAAGAGCAGCATGTACTTAAAGCTGCACAGACCAGTGAGTCCACACACTGTGACAAGACACAGCCAGTCCTATTACACCCACACAGTTTAAAGGACACACTGGCAGGGGTAAAGATGATTATTTGTGCAGCTCATGCAGCAAATTTGCTCACTATTATTCATAAATGTTTGATATCTTTCTGTTTACAGCTTCATCAATTCATACAAAAAGCACAGCAAGATGGAAATCAGGATGCAATCATCTTTTTGCACCAAAGTCTAAAGGCAATCACAAAGTGACAAGCCTTACCTTGAATACGAATGACTCATTGAAGACAGGGTTCAGTGTTTTCTTGTGGACTTTGGTGTCATACTTCTTCTTCTTCTCAGGTAGGAGCTGGACTTTAACGTAAGGGTCTGAGGTTCCACCTGAGTCCATGGACATGAGGTCGGCGGCTTGAAGGATGCCAACTGTGAGCTGTGTGTGGATGTAAGGGACAGAGAAGTCAAGGCAGAGTTTTAGACAACAAAATAAATTCTAAAGTTTGTCCGAATTTTTCATCTCTTTCAGGGTCACTGCAGTAGAGATGAGTTATATAACATCATCTGACAACTATAGCTTTGCAATCTATCACAGCAGACCTCCTGCTCAAATGGAAACATATTGAATGTCAGAAGGTTTTTTTCTGTGTCACTCGATCGTCACACTGTGATATATAAACATTTTCTCTAGATGTATCATTTAAGCAGTTGAGCGAGTAATACATGGATTTTCTTTTTGATTCAACAACCAAGCGTCATTAATTCATCTAATAAAAGAGTATGTCCATATGCCACTGAGAAAATTAATCATGGTGGGGAAAGTTTGATGAACGTGTTCTCTTTTCTCTGAGCCAGGGTTAGGGCAAAAAACTATTCATCATAAATATTTTTCTTGACTAGATTTAAGAACAAAAAAAAGGAATTCTGTTGAAGTTTAACCACAAAGCCTTTTTGTGCAGGAGGGTGGAGTTTGTTACCCTTGCTGGGCTAATGGTTTGTCTGTCTTGTTAGCTCTGTCCCAGCTAACAGTTAGCCTAGAGTGTCCGGCAAACATTTTCTCTGTGGTTAAATCAGTCCAACATAACCACTATCTTAGCTTTAACTGTCAGCTAACATTTTCTCTCTATTAGCTTTTGCAACACTTACAGTTAGCCTTGCTTGGACAGTGCTAGGCTATATCTGTAGTTAGTTTAGTATTCTTAGTAAATTCAGTAAACGTAAAAGAGGGATAGTCCCTATAGATAAAACATGTTTTCAACTAATCTTTTTTTTCCACAAATCTACTGACAAGAATGTACAGTAAGATTCATACTCTCCCAGCCCAACAACTCCCTCACCTACCAGCTCACCTAGAAATGCAAATAAACACATAATTATAGGGGGGTGTAGAGGGGGCACCAAATGGCATTTGCAGTTATGTGCCTTTTGCTGCATGTCATCCCCCACTCTCTCCTCCCAACATATCCTCTCTCTTTTCAGCTGCCCTTTCCAATAAAGGGAAAAAAGCCTCCAAAATAACTTTACATTACAATAAATTACTGTATACATTTTAGATTCATTCCAACACAAACCCAAATCTCCCGTATCAGCTCCAACAAAACTAAATGCAGGAGCCAGTTGTTTTAAGATCATTGAAGATAGATGTCTCAAAGAGGTGAAAAGAAGTGAGTTGGGCAGATCAACAAATCAGAAGTGTTAAGAAGAAAAAACGTGTGCATCCTGTGGTCAAATTATTGTTTACCCTGGTTTTAAAATGTTCCAAGCCAACTAAATGCTCTAATTTAAGCTGACTCTGCAACTCAGACCAAGATGAAGGCGCAAACACACTAAAAGCACTTTCACCAAAGACAGAGCGAGTTTGTGGAATGACATACATGATGAGTCCATCAGATCCAAGGTTACAGCTTCTAAGAGCTTTTGGACTCAGCAAGGAGCATATAAAGAAAGCAGTTTATGAACCAATGCTTCATCCTTCGGTTTTACGGGGCTCTGATTTGGTACTTTCCAGTCCAAAATGCAAATGAGACAAGAAGCCTTTTTATTATATAGACACAATGATGGGTACGAAAAACCCATACCAGAGATTAATCTCAATGCAGCATGGTTCACTGTGTCCAACATTTTTTAGTGAGGATGAGGTAGCACGCATGCCTGTCTCCAATACCAATGCCTTTGAATTGCCCCCTAGGGACGAATAAAGTTTTTTTAATTGAACTGAACTGAATTGAATACAACCCAATGTAGTTCAGCGCTTTCAATCACCGTCCTGAGCACTAAATCACCTTCGACATCGGCTGTTGATTGACGCTAAGCTTACAACACTCTCATTTAAAAGTAGTTCAACTTTTAAAACAGCGGCACACTCTCAAATTAAAATCCAGAAGGGAGACTTCTGAGATCAGCTTTGTCAACAACAATGACAGAGGAGAAGCTAGTCTGACTCGTCTTTTCTAGGGTTCAATATACAGGCCTAGAGCTGCTGCTAATGCCAGAACACAATTCATTTACATTGATTTCGTCTTTTTTTGGTGATCATTTTAAGCACATGGAGCTATCTAAAACACATCTAACGGACATTACAGAGGGAAGTAGAAGTCAGCTTTTGTAACCTAGCAACAAAGGGCAACAAAATAGTTTGTGGGCACTTTCTGTGGAATCAGGCCCTTATTCAGCAAGTAAGCTAATCGGTGCATTTTCCAAAAGTTTAGTTTAAATACTTCAAAATTATGAAACTCCATATATATATATATATATATATATATATATATATATATATATATACCTCTATATGTATGGATGAAATAACACACTCTCTAAAATAGATTCTGTATGACAAATGTTTGGAACTTGTTTTTCAGATTTCAATTGGTTCTTCAGAAAATAGGCCAACTGATCTTTCTTCTCAAAGCTAAGCAATATGTGTAATGCATTTCAAAGTGACCACATACCTTTGTATTCTCAAAGTCATAATCAATAGAGTATTGCAGCTTCCCCAGTTTCTCTTCTTCTTTCTCCTCTTCCTCTTTTTCTTCCTCCGTCAGTCCGGTCTCTCCCTCGTCATCGTCCTCCTCATCCTGGAGTTTCTGTGGTGTGCAGATAACAAGACATACGCAGGTGTCAAAAGCTCAGGAGACCACTGCAGAAAAAAAGTGCTCCCACAACAGCCAGCATGCCACAGACACTGGAGCTCCTTTTTTTTTTTTTACGTGGGAGATACATGTTTTGGTTACTGCTTACCTGCACAGCACCTGATGATAATAACTAGGGGTTTGTCTGTCATTGGTAACACATAAATACATATTTTTTGGGAATTCTGCACACCGACTCCAGTGTTTTTAGTTCAGTTCCTTCAACATGCTTGTGCACTAAAGTGACAGCCAGTCAGTCAGTAGAGGCTTTGCATGCTAGTACCACTAAGAGGGGCAATATGCATTCAAATGTTTACCAATTCAATCAGATTTTAGCATACATCTTCCCTTTTCAAAAGGGCTTTGATTTCACCTAATGACTAAGGAGATTAATGTTTTCATCCAATTCCCCCAAGGGACTAGCTAACGAAGAGCGAAGGCCACTGCATATTAAAATTATAAAAGCCAAATAGAACATAGTATCTGGTGAAAGGAGATGCCTTTCAGATAACCTAAAGCTTTTAGCAAGATTGCAATTGGTTGTTATATTACACCCTGCATTCAAACATTCATATTTCAAGATAAAATCCAATGCATGCCTTGTTTCACCTTTGAATTTATGAGGCGCCAGAAAAAAAATGCCTCCCTTTTTTTTTTTTGGCTCACAATTATTACAGTAAATGGTTCATGATTAAAGGGCACAGGCAGCTATTTGAATAATGTAGAGCTGCAGTTTTATTATTGTAGCGAAAGGTGACCTTGACTTTAAAAAGTCATCCATTGTCTCATCCAACCTCATTTTTGTAATTTTGCAAGTATTTGGCTCTCCATGCAGTTTTATCATCACAGTTTTCATGTCTCCCAAACAACCAACCATGCCCTTAATCACATGCACAGATTAATAGTGTTAAAAGTGTCTTGCATATCATCTCTTAGTCCAATACTTTGCATATTGGTGTTAAAGGTACATTGTCCCAGGAACAATGTGTTAGATGGTCAGACTCTCCTCTCTGGGGTTTATGGAGCACATCATAGCTTTCCATTGTAACATTCCCAAGCTGTCATAACAAAATTGAAAAAAATCAAACTCAAAATTGGGAGGGGCTTCAAAGTAAAAGAAAAAAGAGCAAAGGAAGCTACGACTTTCATTCCATGAAACCCCCTCTGCCCTGGGGGGGGGGTCAGAGAACATCACTGTGAGCTATCCACCTACCGTAGAGCATGAGTCCACCGGTCAAGAAACACGATGCACACACAAGACAGACACAACGCAGGGAACAAAAAGAAGGAGGAGAGCAGAGAGAGGAAGAGATTCAACTCACAAGACACCAAACACACTACAAAAAGAGGGGCAGTCAACACCACCACCACCACCACCACCACCACCGCCACAATCGTGATGAGTAATGACACACTTGTTTTCAGCTGGGGATAACACATTCACAATGTGGACACAGGTTATTGATCACTTTAATTAACCGTCACTGCAGTCATGGCGATCTATGGCGATGTTAGTTAGATTATTCCTTTAATGAATCATTGACTTTCCCAAGATTTATCCTCGGATTTACCATCCTTAGCTTTCAAATTTTCTCAGTAACTCTGGGGGGTCTCATACCTTCATTTATTTTCAAATGCATCTTAAAGTTCTCACAACTGGTTCCCACTTATGGTGCTCATTTTTCTTTGCCAACCTGTTTCAAAGTGTGTCATTTATCACCACGAGCCACAATGGAATATGTCACACATTAAAACAACCAACACAACAACATCAAATAAAAGCAGGGGGAAGAGAGCTCTCCTTGTGTCCTCTACAGCCTGGGCTACAAAAGCTGCTGGTAAAAGATCAAATGTGGTTAGCTAGAGACATATTTAACTGCAGCAGTTTTAATACACAGTAATACATGCTTTGGTAATTTAGTGATTGTGAAAAGAAGAGGCAAATCATCACTAAACACGATCTGTTAAAGTGTCTTTTCAGCATGTGTGGGGCAAAGTGCATCATACCTCACCACCCTGCATGTTCTTCATGTTAAAGCCATCCTTGCCCTTCTTCCCTTTCTTATTCTTCTTCTTCTTGCAGCAGCATTTTTTGATTATGCAGAAGCAGCACGTAAGGATGAGCAGTGCAGCCACTACAGCAATGGCAATCAGAGCCCAGGGAGGCACTGTGTGTTCCAGAAAACAGAGGGAAATGGAGATTTGATTGTCGCTTAGGAGTTTCTCACAAGTACACATCTCAGAAGAAAGAGAGGATAAACTGTACCATTACTCACATGGGATTTTATCAATTTCATTCAAGAATTTGCTCTTGATCTCCTCAAACATGTCATTCTTATTGATCTCTGTGTTGTTGGACCCAGAGATGTCCGGGGCAGATGTTGAGATGAAAGCTGGGGGGACAGTGGGAGCCATGGTCGCGGTGGTGGCACCTGTGGGCTCGGCCGCCTTCACAGCCTGTGGTGTTCTGAACAAGTTGAACTTCATTGTCAAAGACTAGGTGCAGCGTCCCTGAAGCACAGACAGATCAAACAAAAAGAGAGGATAAGACATGCCAAGTGTCATGAACTCTATGGTGAAACTGGAAAAAAACTGGGAGAAAAATGTAATCTTCATTAATTCATACACTTTATCCTCGTAACCCAGGGCGCTCACTGCAAGGCGCCTACTGCCAATGATTCATTCTTCAGCTAAATAACAGAAACTGGATTTCAGAGCAGGACATGGGGGTGGAGATAAGTTAAGTTGACAAAATCAGAAAAAGGTTGTTGCTTGGTGCCTTTAATCTATTTTTCTAAAGGCGGACGGATAATATATTAATAATAATAATAATATATTAATAAGGTAATATAGCAATAGACCAGTAACAACTCCCTTTGATACTAGCATCTTAATCATAAGCTAATTCAAAATATTAATTTTTAATTTAGTACAAATTACAACTAGAATTAGTTATCCTCTTACCCTTCTGAGTAACTTGACCAACACTGATAATAGACTAAAACAATAATGAAGATTTAAAAGTGAGTCACCAACAACAATTTGAAAAACTGATTACATTTTAACCAAACCATTAACAATCACAAAGAAGACTAAGTATGCCAAGTTGGTAAAACCCGTCTAGCTTCTATAAGCTCGGGCTCTGGTTGTTTGGTATCCTCACAGTGAAAGACTCCCTGAATAATAATGTGTTAAGCTGTTTATGAGCCTTGAGGTGAGTTCAGACATAAAATGAATTTTGAAGGCTAAAATTGCTCACAAAGTTGCTGGGAAAATGCATGTGGGTGTCGTTTACTGTGGTTAAAGCAAACCAAGGCATTATTTATCTGCTGCGTGGATCGTGTTTTAACTTGAACATAAGGCACAGGTTATTGCAGAGCTTTATGAATCTACTTCTTGCTCATACAGAGAAAACAGAAAAAGGAGACCCGAGAGAAATAACATAAAGAACTGGAGTTCCTGGTGAGTTCTGGGATCAGTCATTGTATGAGCTGAACTCAAGCTCACAGTTAAGACACAGTTGTAGCATTATTAGCTAGCTTTTGGACAGTTTTTGCTTAGTACATTGGATACCTGCGGTCAAATCTACACTGACACATAAACACTCCGGCTGCCATATCGGACAAATGTTGTAAGGCAAAATATACACATTTAAAGGTATCGATGGGTGAGGCTGGCTTTAAAATCCTGTTATAATCTTTACACAAGGCTAACCTAACCTCCTCCCCTACCCAAATATGAATTAAAGATATAAAACATGACATTTTTTAAATTGATATAGCAGATATAAAGTATATGTTCTGACTAAATATGTTGTTGAGTAATGTGTATCGAAAAAAAGGAGTGAAACTTATTTTGGCTTATTGTTCTCAGCTCTGTGTTTACATTGACAAGATGGCGCTTCATTCAGCTAGTTTATGTTTCATCAGGGGCTCAAAAATGTTTTCACATGAACCCCTCCCTCTCCAACCGTTAGCCCTGCCACCACTCAAGGACGTTGTTTTTTCGAGACATAATGGAGGACTGTTGACACAATAATGCAATTTAAGGAGAACCAACAGACTTTCTGAATTGAAAAATACTTTGTTTGGTCTAAAATACTTCAAATAAATAAAAACTGAATCAACTTTGGGCTGCATATGTGAATGGAGATCAGTGCTCCAAACGGCTGAACTCAGTCAGAACTCTGAAAGGGGTGGTAGGAGGGAAAGCGGTGAGCTGAGGGGGTTTTGTTTTGGTCTGAGAGACTGGTGCCAACAAGCCTTTTCCTCAAATTGTCTCTAAACTGTGCTGTCAAGCAAAAGTGCCAAGTAGTACAAAACAGATGAATCAGTGAGTTTATTCTGTCCTCACGAGTGCGTTTCTGAGCAAGGCTAGACAGATAGCGAACAAAAACTCCAATAAAACTGTTTTCTTGAACAAAGTGGCTTTTCTGTAAAACTGAAAATACAGTACAAATATTGTGTCAATATACTGCACATGTAAAGCATACACACATTAAATGAAACTGTAAATAGTTAAATGTATTATGTACATTAATAGCTTGAGATGAAAATATGAATTAAACTACTTTTGAAATCCTTATGAATTGTAACCCCATGTATTCACATGTAACATTGCTGTATAACATTCTTGCACACATTTGTTCAGCAGCTAAACAACTCCGGAAAATGTTAGTACTCTGTAGCAGAGGTGGGACAAAGTCATTGCTTTGCAAGTCACATGTAAGTCTCAAGTCTTTGGTCTCAAGTCCCGAGTCAAGTCCCAAGTAAAGACTGGCAAGTCCCAAGTTGAGTCAAAAATCCTAACCTTTGAATTTCGAGTCCTAAACAAGTCAATAGCTCTCTTCACCAAATTAAATGCCATTTTCAGAGAGTAGTAACTTGTTGCAGTTACACAAATCATGATTTCGTACATGGTTTTATTTAGCGTACTTCTTAAAATAAAATAACAGTACCAGTGCGACTGACACTGTTTTGTTTATTTTTCCTAAATTCTGTTTTTTTCCATTTTTATTTGACTGAATTCTGTGTTTGACGGTGTGTTCCATTGGATCAGATCACTGATTTGGGTCATTTTATTAGATCATGTCAGGAAATTGAGACATTTTTAAGTATAAATTAGTTCGCCTTTACTTATTTCTTAAAAGGTAGTATGCCCAGGCCACCCTTGTTCCCCCTTTTTTTAGTGTGTGTGAAGACGTTCCCAGACTACAGCAGGCAGTGAGATAACAGCCTACCAATTTTAAGGCGCTGACTGTTGATAAATACAGTATGCAGACACGGTGAGAGAGACTAGGGAATAGTTGAAATGGCCGTTTGACTGGATTAAGTCCATACAGATCATGGACTGTGTTGCGCTAAAAGTAAATAGGTGCGCGCGATGGCTGGTGTTCCGGTGTGTGTGTGTGTGTGTGTGTGTGTGTGTGTGTGTGTGTGTGTGTGTGTGTGTGTGTGTGTGTGTGTGTGTGTGTGTGTGTGTGTGTGTGTGTTTGTGTGTGTGCGTGTGAGTGTGTGTGTGCATGAGCGTGTGTGTTTGTGTATGTATGTGTCAGCTCGTGCCTGCAACATGCAAACAGATGAGGAGCAGCAGCGAGAAGCTGCAGGTACACCAAACTCCTCATATATTTTATAAGAACACTTGGTAGAAAAACGTATGGTTTTTTAAAAAGTCACACTCATATTGAGGCAAATCCCACGATATTCTGTACACAGTTAATTATATTTTCATTGTAAAACTCTGTGATTCCGTCCGTGTTTTGCACATCGCGGAAATTATATATGGGACCTAAAATAACATTAAAACTATTTTTTTCGAGTCATTAGGCTCAAGTCCAAGTGAAGTCACGAGTCATTGGTGTTGCAGTCCAAGTCGAGTTGCAAGTCTTTCATGATTTTGTCAAGTCGAGTCCAAAGTCATCAAATCTGTGACTCGAGTCCAACTCAAGTCCAAGTCATGTGACTGGAGTCCACACCTCTGCTCTGTAGTACACATACAACATGACACAATGCTTCAATGTTTGCTATTTAGCGAAAATGAAACTTAAAGGGGTCATATTATGCTTTTTCTGGTTTTATATGCTCATTAGTGTGTTTTCCATGTGTCCTGTGCATGTTTAGGCACATCTATGTGCAAAAATTCAAAGTCCGCGTAAACACGGCTTACCCTACGTCCTCCTGTTAGCTGTTACATTAGCTGCATGTAACGCTCGGTTCTAGCCCCCCTCAATAAAAATTTGCCAGTGTGACGTCTTGTCAGTGTGACGTCACTGATCTAAGTCCATTGGCTCGTTGTGGCAAGCCCAGCAGCTCATGTTGCACGCCCATTAACTTCTGTAGCACGGCCACGATATGCCATAGCCTGCGGTAGCACAGTAGTGCTAAGGTGCTAATGTTTTTGCTCCCCTCGGAGCCAAAGTGGCTGCATTCCCAATATGGTAAAGGGGGCGTGACATTTCCGAGAACCGTGCTGAGCGACTGGGGACTCTGAACGTGGGCATTTCAGAGCCTTAGAGAGAGAGTCAGAAGCGAGCCGGTGCATGGAGCAGCAGTACATGAAAACAGACACTTTTTTCGAACTTTAGCTATTGTGAACATACTTTAGTAGGTACATAGATTAAATATACGAACCCCAAAAAGGGCATAACATGACCTCTTTAAGAAAACACAAGCGATACACAAAGTGTCCACCAGGGCGGAAAAATGCCAGTAAGGCTGGTTATACAGGAATCAGAATAGAATTGTTGCACATCTACTTAAATACTTTCTTTTCTTCTTTTCCTGGTTTTTTGCTGCTATATTGTTACTGACTAATAGATTAAGATGATCCTATTAGTTTGACAGATGATGCGATCAAGAGCTGCAGTGGAATAACTCAGCTCTGTGAAAGGTAGATTAATGTCAAAGTGTGGGAGTAATCATAACAGCAGTATTTATTGTGGGTGAAGAATTAAACTAAAAACTGTTTCGTAAAATCCTCTCCTGAGAAATCCTCAAAGATACAAAAGCCATGAAAGGAAAATAAAGTAATTCATTACGCCAATGATGTGAGAATTTACTGTCAGAGTGAAGAATGAGTAGAAACTGAAGTGAGTACCCCCCATCCTTTTTTTGAATACAGTTATCTACTAGAACTATAGTGTTAGAGAGGATGACCTGCATCTGTACAGGAAGGGAGGCAGACAGCTCAACTGTTAAAGAAATAATAAAAACAATCAATAACTCCAAAGCTTGATTCTTGATTCTCGGTGTGTTTAGTAAGACAATATAGCTAGGAAACAGCTAGCTGAGGTTAGCATAAAGACTGGGGAGAATTACTTGCCGTAAAAGACACCTATAAATTCACTTGTGCATTTAAATAGAGAGCACTGGAGAAGCTAATTGTATTGTTAAATTTGGACAGAGTAAGCTAAGCCAACAGCCTCCTGACAGTATATGTTTACAGTACAAAAAGAATAATTTCTCACCTCACTTTCAGCAAGAATTAAAGCAAGTATCCCAAAAATCTCTTAACTGCAAATTCTGGGCCCAGACTGCACATCCGTGAATAAGGATTTGTAATCAGTGTCAATGGATTTACAAATGTTTTTTTTTTCTTATATGAGCCTTGCAGGGCTTCTTATAAATACATGTAAAGTTCAGAGATTTTTTGCACAACACCATTGTTTTGCTCCAGGCGAAATCAGCCCCCGAGCAGATGTACAAGGACGCATTAAGATTAAATTCAGGTGTCTTTTCATGTTGGTTCACCTTTTAATCTTATTGAAAGTCAATCCAATGCAAACAGCTGACACAATCAATTTCTTTCACAGCCTCAACTGACCAAGTTTTGTCTATCCTAACTTTTTTTTTTTTTTTATCTATGCAGAAGTAGGCTATGAGTGACCAGCACACTGTTTGGATTTCCTGCTGAGAAGGAAGGTGTTGTAGCTCTGGTGTTAATGAGGCTCCATGTTGTTGCACAAAGCAGAGAAAAGCTGCAAATAATTGGACACATTTGACAACTGTAGCATGGACTCAGTTTGGATTAAATTAGAATTCAGTGAGTTATAATCTGGTGTAGTGAATGAGAAATGCCTCTCTTTGTTGTTTTATATTAGATTACATAAGCAGAGAGTAGCATTGCACTAATTAGACATTAAGAGCAAAGGCCATTTAGTGATTCAGATTTGGCATCGAGAATGATGTTACTGCAGTGTCATACATATCTGTGGGCAGATAATATAATATTTCAGTACTGAACTGGACACTGTCTTTATGCTTCCATGCCTCCACCAGCTCAACATGATACCTAAGAATAATTGGCAACTTTACAACTGTTGACTGGTTCTGCAGCCAGCGCATCACCATGACTTTTTGTTGGTTTGTTTGTTCTTGCTCCAGGGGGAAGAATTCAAAAGAGGACAGTTGTTTGACAGAAAGGGCCGTGAAATGTTTTCATCATTTGTAGCTTAACATACTGCTGTAACAACTAAGCAAGTGTGTAGTTAGACAGGCATGTAACATACAAACATAGAAAATGAAAAATCTATAAAACAATCAGCATGAATAAATAATAATAATAAAAAAGTATAAATATGTCTGAGTCTTGTCTTTTACAGATTTCAAATGTTAAGAGCACCTCAGTTTTATTTCTCTCTGGTAGCACAAATTAAAATGATTTTTCACGGTTTTTAATGTAAGAAATGTCCATGCATTGATTATTAAGCAGAGGCAAAAGCTACAATTTCCCAATCATACATATGAGTTTACATGCCAATTTAGGATGATATGCATTGAGTTTTACGCCATAAGGACTTTCTGAAAATCTGGATAGGCACAGAGTGCATGTGAGGATATCTGTATCATAAAATCACAGATAACCAGCAGACCTCAGACTTCCCCATCAGCACTCATGATGTAACCACATCTCCTTTGACTCACAGGAAACAGATCAATAAGTATTGCATTCCAATATCAGTATTTCAGGGAGGACTACTCTTGCCTTAGGGTAAAGAATGTGTGGTCAGATGTGGCCGGCTTACGCACAGTACAGTATAGGAAAGAGATTGGAGGCCTGTCTGCTGTGGGCCTGCAGAATATTGTTGCTAAGCAATCCTGATAGTGTCCATCAGTGGACCAGAATTTCCCAGAACCAGACTATAGCTGAGGTGACCATCCAATCAAATAAGAAATTGGCTGAAGGCCAGTGTCAAGTCATTGCCTGCATGAGCAGCGGGTATGGGCATGAAATGCATGCTGACTGCTCTCCCCTGCTGTGATGTATCATGGTTATGATTAAGGTTTAAGCTGCAACAGCTCCCAAAAAATACAACTTTATGCATATAATTTAACTTTAAGACTGTACGAAGAAATATGAACAGCAAATTAAACATGAAATACACAGAAAATGCAGGAAAATTACAGTGCTCCTGATTTGACTCAGGGACATATGAGAACTCCAACTTCCCTAACTGAGCTTCTATTTGCAGTCAAATGATTGGTGATCATTTAGTTGGAAGAATCCAAAGTACTTCAAAACACCTTTATAAGCCTCCCTATTTGTTTTAGCCTTGTGTTTACCTTAATGCCATTAGCACTCAGTCCTTATCTGCCTGTGATTTCTGCAGCTCATCACTGGCCAGCATCACTCAACAAGAAAAAAAAAAGGCAGTGACACATCCTTGTTCTCAAGGATATTCAGGTATAAAAGAATAGCACCACATTGTAATAGTTCATCGTGACTCACTTAGTTTAAAAATGCAGAAAAGATTCTCTGAGAAAGCAAACTACTAGTTGTACGTTTTAATTTCAATCTAAGCCGCATAACTGCATCTTCAAACAAGACTCACCGGTCAGATGTGGTATTCCTCTTTGCGAGGAGGCCCATCCAATATCAATAACTGTACGGGCTTCAGTCCCTCAGAGCTGTGGCAACATAGTCTGATCGCTCCCATAAGCAGAGACTGCAGTCTCCTCTCACTTCTCTCCACTGCAGCACTACACCCCTCCTCCTCCTCCTCCTCCTCCTATTCTAGTGCTCACCATCTCCCCCGTTTTCCACACACACACCTCCCTACTCCCACAATGTACTCACGCACACAGCCTCTTTACCTCTTTGTCTCCATCTCTCTCTCTCTCTCTCTCTCTCTCTCTGTCTTTCTGTCTCTCTCTCCCTTCAAGCTTATTTGTGATGCTGCTCACACAGCTGATTGCAGCACGCCACTCTTTGGTCTAGCATTGGAGGGCAGTTGTAAAAGATCAATATGCACAAGCTTTGGGGGCGGAGGGGCCGCGTTTCCATCAAGCCACCGTTTGCAAAGATCAGAGATGGAGAACACGAGAGGTGGGTCGTAGGAGGGTGGACAAACTCTGGGTGTGCCGACTTTACCACAACAGCTCCACACAGTATCATCACGCTGAGCTCATGCAATTAATTGGATCTGCAAAAATTGATCTCAGAAGTGTGATTTAACCCTCTGGAGAGAGCCTCCCTTGTTAAAGCTATTCAGAACGAAGAACCAACACCATGAATGATTGGGCCAACCTGCCTGCCTTTCAATGATCCCTCAGGAGGCTCGTCAACGATAATTGGAAGTGAGAAGATAACAAAGCATCATCTCCTGTTACAACGCAAACATAAATGCAGCCTGTGGTGTTTAGTGAGATCTATTACATCATGAAACCACTGGTGTGTGACCAAGAAATCCATGCATGCATAGAAATGAGAGTATAAGGCTTCAATATGAAATAAGGTAAAAACGTTAAACCCTTATACAGTAGGTTGGAGTTACATCAATATTGCAAATTCAATTGATTTCAAATCAACAAATGCACGAGAACGTGTCTCAAGAGTCACTTTCCAACACATTTGAAGTCTTTTCAATTCCAGCCTTTTCTCCTCAAATGCCTCCCTTCCTCCTCTCCTCTCTCTCTCCTTGGGGAAATACCTTTCTGTGTGCTCATGTTCAGCCAGCAGCTGTCAGAAGCCAGTGTGAGGTGGCTCCTTTTACTTCAGGCTACGCTGCACTGAGCTTTTCCTGCCAGTGGGGGGCGGAGATCCCGCTTCAAAATTACTGCATCAGACCGCATACATTTTCCCCCTTTATCTGTACAGATGTGCTTCAGAGATGTTAATTTGGATTCCATGTCTTACCCAGGTTTAATTTAAAAAGTGCATAACAACTATTTAAAGCAAAATAAAGTACTTGAAACTTTGTACACAACTTTTCAGATGATTAGGGTCTTTTGTTTCATTGAGGCCAGACATTTCACTTCCTGCAAAGCATAATTTTCTTGCAGTGCCTAATGGATGTTTCTTTATCAGATTCTCTAAGTATTTCAGTCTAGTAATGAGCGAACTCACCTTGCCATCATCTAAGGGGACTCCAAAGTCAAATTAAATTGAGTGCTGAGAAGGCTTGGTAAGAGTAAACGTCCGGGGAGGATAGTGAAGGATGAAGGACATGGGAGAATAAAATTGGAAATGAGGAAGCACAAGTTGCCTTGTTATGGTTTCTGAACTGAGATACTTCAAGATAAAGTAACTTGTGTGATGGAGTTTTTGTAGCCTAATACAATAAATGAAACAAACTACACTGGAATCCTTTGGGTACTTTAAAAGCATAAATTTACAATTTGGGGGAAATGTGCTTCTCTCTTTGCTGAGAGAAGCACATTTCTGCTGATTTTACCTGGCAGCAAGCTGGACAGAAAATAAAGTAGTTACTGTTGTAAACAAAAGTCTGGAGTCCTGAGAGCTAGCATAGTAATCTATAGTGTAGAGCATTACATGTTTATTGGAAGTACCCTCTGTCATGGCCTTCGCTGAAGCTGCAGCCATGCAGACAAAGTTTTCTGTTGCTTGTGGTAATTCGCCCTGACTCTGAATAAACAACAATAAATGACGACAAACAGTGAGGTCGTCATAAACGTGCTGACCACAGTCTAGAGACAATTTTATTTCAATATTTGATAAGATTAATAAGGTGAAATGTACAACTGAAGACAAACAATCCTGGACCTTCTTACAGGCAGGACTGCATCCAAAGTGTCGCATATGAGTGTTACAGAATCCATGTTTAGCTTCTCCAAAACTAATTCATAAACACATACTGAACAGTCAATTAGAAATTAAATGCTTTTTGTTGTGCCGGAGTCAAAGCTGCTGCAGTGTCAAGGTCACAGAGGTTTCCTTGAGTTGATGATGTTAATGAGTCAGATGAGGAGGTGCTGGCAGACTGACTTTCTTTTTTACTAAAGACAAAGTCAGGGTCCCTTTCTTTCTTGTACATCGAGTTTCATTTATGTTATTGGCACAAAGTGACAGACAGACTGAGAAATGAAATCAGTCTAGACAGGCGTTAAAATTGGTAACCTGATTCGCACAGCGGACAGCTTGCTGAGGGTAGCGGACTCCAACAGACTCAATTAACTGATTTTCGCATCACTAGTGACGTCGTAGGGGTGGAGCCGGACTCTCTGACGGCATTTTCAGAGAGGAGGATGTTGTCTATGTGGTATCTTGTCTCACACCAACTCCACGATGTACTGGCAAAACACAGGAACACCACAGAAGTTCATTCCATCCTGTGGCCATCAAACTCTATAACTCATCCCTTTGAGAGTCAGAATAACCATTCAAAGTGAAAACACTTTATTTCCTTCATAGGAAATCTACAGAAGCCCTGAGCAGACAGGGCTCCATGCTTTCTATTTATTGAATTTTCCCGTGATAATATGTATTTTTGGGTTGTTTTCTCGAAATTTGGACTTATTTATCTGGTATCACCAGAGTTTTCAAAAGCACAAAACAAACATAGAAATAGGCTTTTTACTCATTGTTTAGCTTCTATTGTGTGAGCAATAGCAGCATGGTATGCCATGGTCTCATTATCATATTACAATAGAATAAAATAAAAAGCTTTGTCGTTCTGAGATAATGAGATAAATAACTCCTGACCTAGAGAAAACAACCGGAAATGACTTTTAAACACATGAAAATTGAGTACCTACAATGTATGGAAACAAGTCCTCTTGGGGCTTCCATAGAAATTATATTTGGATGCTAATTAATGATTTGCAGAAATGTTGAATTACAAATTTGTCTCTACAGATATTCCAGTCCATTCATTTTCTTTTCTTTTCTTTTTGATGCATTTGAAATAGAGATACTGCAAAGGATGCGTTATCAAAAATATGATAAAATGTTTACTCTCATATAAAGCAAAACCATAAGGTCAGGAAGTCATCTTTGAAATCTCTTAAAATATCACCCACCAGGCCATCAGCCAGCGCACACCCATGTCCGGAGGCTCTGGTCTTCTGGGCAGGCAGCCCGGGTTCAAGTCCGACCTGTAGACCCTTTTCCGCATTTCATTCCCCCTGTCTCTCTCTCGCCCAGATTTCTGACTCTATCCACTGTTTTGTCTCTAAAATAACGGCATAAAAAGCCTAAAAATAAACCTTTTAAAAATATATACAGTATATATATATATATATATATATACTGTAACTTGCACTGCTGATTAGTTAATTTGATTTAAAATATTTACAAGATGTATATCTCAGCAGTTGCTTTTCTTGTGCTATTGAAATATTCTGCACATATTTGATTTAATAAAAATGTTTGCCCTTGAACATAAATAACCTTGAACGCAAACAACAACACAAAGTTAAGATTAAAAATGATCTGAAAATCTATAGCAGCCAGAAAAACAGCAGAAAAACTGTTTTTTCTATTCATCTCTCAACAAACAACAGTTGAAGTCACAGCTTTCTGAAAAAATAATTCATCATTTTGAACGTGGTCACTAGGTGTAATCAGCTAATGTTCCTGACCAGAATCAATAAAAAGCTACCTCCTGACTCAGCAGCTTTTTGCTCGGCAGACTTCAGTGCAAGGTCACAATGCAGCCAAAGAACTGACAGTAGAGTGATGGTTTTACTTTATCTTCCCAGTGCATTATGGGATACTCGAACTCAGCTCTTCCCTGAATCTGTGAATGAGTAAAATGTTCCCTTTCTCTTCACTAGATGTCCTCTCCACGAAGATGAGTCAGGCCTGAGGACTGTGTTGCGCTGGGACGTCAATAAGAGTGAGACAAATGGCTATCAAAGCCCCCGATATCAAACATGTGCAGACAACAGCTGCTGCCAAAGTGTGCTGGGACACTTTGATCGAGATGATTTGTCTCAAACGGGGAGGCAGAGGGGACGTGGAAAAGACTGCACCCTCTTAGCTCCTGCAGGGAGTGCTGCAATGCAGGGGTGTAACAGAGAATCACAAAGCTAAAGGCAGTTTGTCCGACAGTCAGCTGCAAACACTCTTCCTCCATTTCCTGACGTGCCTCACTTCTTTCTCTCCTTTTTGCTTTCATCGTTCCCTTGCATCACTCTGGCCTTTTCTGCTTCCCTACTCCCCCTTTTATACACACAAACATACACGCACACACACACACACTCAAGGGACCAGTTCTTCTCTGGCCCATGATACTGCAACGTCAACAACAGGAAACAAAACATACCATATGGTCCTGTTTGGCTCTGTACAACAGTTGCAGTGTTTGGGTGACTTGGAAGAAGCAGCTGGTCAATGGGATGAGGCTATATCTGTGTGTGTTTACATTTGCTTTTGTGTACTTGTGTGTCTGCAAACACAGGGTGTATTTCTTTTGGACTCTGTCGAGTGGGTAGATGTCTGGTGAAGAGAAACTCTTCTGCTTTGACAGCAACTTTTTACTGTAATTGAGTTACTGTCATGATGATGCTGCAGAGTCTGTCTGCTGAGTAAAGGACAGGAGGGCTGTGACATCAGTCAATGTCAACAGGATTAAGTGACTGAAGTTAAAGCTGCTTAAAACTTAAATGAAAGGATTGGCCCCAAAAGCAGACAAAGGCCATTTTTGAGCTGCTGGAACAATAACCACCCAAATATGATGAATATTTAAAAGAAGAAAATCTGGAGGGTGTAAGCAAGTTTATTTTCAAACGTTAACAAATAGGTCAGATTGTAAAATAAAATAAAACACTTTAAAACTGTATCTATTGAGGCATAGTCCATGAAATATTTATCAGTAAAGACTAACAGTAAACCCAAGGAGAGATTCATCAGTACAAAAATAGAGTAAGGAGCAAAGTGCCCTAAACTTCAAAACCCAGAATCACCT